GTCCGCTGCTAAATTTTATGAAACCCCATATGGTCTACTCTTTATACCGTAGAGGAATGTATGGTTTTTCGTACGCGGAAAATATGCGGCTTGTAGTTTGGAAACCGTGAATGCAAACGTAACGGTAGGTCGTGGTTCAAAATTATTCGAGAACTGGAAAAGTTTTTGAAAACCGAATTATACCATTTCTTAGAGTACAAAACTGGAGGCAGACGTACTCTTCTATCGCATGAGTAAGAGAATGAATAGTTCTATGCATTTTTCTATGAAATACAATTGAATTTTTAAGGGCGTCGAAAATCAATGGGAAAAATGTATGCTACGTACGTAGTCATTTTTTACAGAGTGTGGGTTTTGCAGGCAGCTGGAAAGATGTTCGTTCGAAAGCCAGCTTCCGGGGATAACTGAATTATTATAGGGTTTTGCTTTATGGTTATTAGTTTCAAAACCCTACCAAAATAATCCCCTCGAAACGTAAACGCAAGTCGGGATTTCGGTTGACATTCCGTGAGTTAGCCCGCCTACTGTACATAAGTAATCATTTGTTACAGAGTGTAGTTTGTGCAGGCGAACAGAAAGAAGTGCATTCGAAAGCCGACATCCTGAAGTAGTTAAATTATTATAGAATTATTCTGCACGATAATCAGTATTACAACCCCACATACGCAATCTTTACGAGTCGAAAACGCATTTCAGAATGTTGGTCAACATTACAAGAGTTAGCACACCTACTGTTTGGTAAGAATGACACCCCTTTATATCCATAGTGGGAAGCCAAACTGCAGAAACGTGCGTGCACACTCACTGCAGGGCGGAAATTTCGTTAACATACATCCAGACCACGTCCAAGCCACGTAATTTAATGCAGGCACATATATACTGAATATTTCATGAACTATGCTATTCACTACCCTGGATCATGCCGCCTTTAAAAATGAGCGCTGGTCAGTCGTTTCGGTACAGAATTTTCGATCAAGCCCGGACAAGTCAGTGCGCAGTTAAAATTGCGAGATACGGCGTGTGATCTAGTGCCCAACCCACGCTGGTATGCGCTGGTTAAGGGAAAAGGGCTCGGTTGCCAGCATATTGGTGATCTGCGTGGTTGCCAACAAGGGTTGGTTGGGTCCACGGGATGCTTACACAAGGACAGTTTATGGGCACAGGCCGGAATCTGGCAGTCAATTCGCCAGCGTTTCTGCTATTATTAGAATGTCGCGAGTCAAGGCTGTCGTTGTCATTCAGATTTCTTGGCACTGGGATTCCACCTACGGCTACGAGAAGACGTCGTGGTATCCGACCCGTGTAGTCCGAGGTTGGCAACGTTAAGAGTTACAGGGCCGTAATTTGAGCCGGAGTAGTGGTTTGCCTAGACCCACATACTTTGCTGCTGATTATTTGGAAACCTTTGCCGGCTTACCATTTTGAAGGCATCAAGTGCACAAAGTCGGACAAAATAACTCATCCAGCAAAAAAAGCAGAAAATCTATCGGCCCAGAACAGACTGGCTCAGAAAGTCATTTAAATTTATGTTCGATTTTCTGTATCTAACGCCTTGACAATAGTTGGTTGACCAAGTCACCCAAAACCTTACCAGTAGAGCAGTTCCGGTAGATGGGCGCTCACCGATCGCGCTACGCAACTCACCTGTCCAGTTTTGCCTTGGGGCTCTCTCTCGATTCCCACCAGCAATCGCACAGTGGCGCGTAATATAGCCAGAATAGCATTACTGACAGGCAAGGGAGACTGGGTTGGCCATTTCTGGCTTATCAGCCGTCCTCAGCCAGCCGCACTCAACTCCGAGGTGGGCAATACCTGGAGCTCGATCCCGCGACTTGTTAGTTAAAAATCCACGCCTCTAACCACTGGGCCACGGTTTCGTTGTCCTGTCAGTTGCGATCGGGCATATACAGTGGTAGAGGAGCGCTCACCGATCGCGTTATGAAACGCAGTCGTCCTGTTTTGCCTTGGGACTCTCACTCGAGACCCACCAGCTCTTCCCCTCTCTCGAGAGACAGAGTCTCAAGGCAAAACGGGACGAGTGAGTTCCGTAGCGCGATCAATGAACGCCCCTATATCACTGTATATACCCGACCGCAGCCGACAGGACAACGAAACCGTGGCTCAATTGTTAGGGGCGTTGGACAACAGGTCGTGGGATCGAGCCCCAGGTATTGCCCACCTCGGGGTTGGGCATGACTGGCTTACGACGGCTAATAAGCCAGAAATGACCAGAGTAGATCGGTTACAGAGAGTCAGTTCTTTTAAAAATGTTACCTCGTTCACAGCAGCAGGACCACGTAATTTATGCGAAAATGTATTTTAAACGACTGGCTCTTTTTCTGTCATGGCTGCAAGAATGTGGGGAACTGATCCAAGAGGCAGTCTTTAACCAGTTTGCTTCCAGCAATTCCTAGGGCATATAGTCTACTATATGACCCCCTTCCACGAAAAGGTGGAGTCCACTAGTCTTTTCAGAATGCAGGACAAAAAGATGTGTTGTTTATTTTAATTTACAGATCCTGTGATCTCTCCCGAAACCAGGTCGTGACGACGAACACTAATCAGAGGTTAAGTGACTAGTTGCAGCTGTCGGAGCTAGAGTTTGCGGCTAGATAAACAGCAGGAGCCTAGTTTAAAACTCAGGTCCTCCGCGTCGGAGGCGGAGGTCTGGCGAACTGACGACAGATAACAAGCCAGGACGTGCCACTCAAATCTCTTCCGTCCCGTACTTCTCGAACAACGCTTGCTTCCTACCCCTTACATACAGTAGGTGGGCTAACTCATGAAATGTTAGCCGAAATTCCGAAAGGCGTTTTCGTTTTCAAAAGATTAATTAAGTAGGTTTGTATAATTAGTCAGCCTGCAACATCATTCTATAATATTTCAGTTATCTCAGGACGCCGGCTTTCGAATGAACTTCCTTCCGGCGGCATGCAAAAACCACACTCCGTAAAAAATGACTAATTAAATGTCATGATTTTTCCCATTGATTTTCGATGCCTCTAAAAGTCCAATTATGTTTACTGGAAAACATGAAAAAGAATATTCATTCTCTTGTTCATGCGGTAGAAAATCACGTCTTCTTCAAATAGAAATCAAATAGAAAAATTCATGCTACTTGAGTAGTAATTTTTTACAGAGTATATCTCTTCAATTCAGCCGACAAGAAGTTCGTTCGAAGGCCGATATCCTGGGGTTACTGTATTAGTATGGCATTACGCTGCACAATGGTTAGTTTTACAACACCACTTAACTAATATTTTCGAAACGAAGACGTATTTCGGAATTTCGGTTGACATTTCATGAGTTGGCCAACCTATTGTAGTTTAATTTGATAGACGATTGCCCGCCACGAATGACAATGTCAACCGTGTTTCCTGCAGCACGCCTGACGCTCCACGGCGACATCTACGTGGATGAGTCTATAATGATAGCAGACTTGCGCTGCATCTGGCGTACTCTCTTGTCCTTCACCCACCCGAACCCGGTGGAAATACTGCGTAAGGGCAACTGGAGGAGGGATCGGTCCGCCCACGCGTGTCACACGCCTGGTCCGCGCACAATGGACCAATGGGTCTCGTGGAGACGAATTCCTCAGAGTCGGCCTCACACCATCTTGCATATCCCAGGTGCTGGTCGACAGTCCGAGCCTGTCGGCCATCTGGTGTTGGAACTGGGCACAGTGACTGACACATAGCCACTGGGGCCAGGCCACGCGTGCCGCACGCGATCTGTTTGGGCACCAGGTTGCGCCAAATGACGCGCTTCTCACTTAGACTGGAGGTTCCTATTCTGTGCATGCGGTGGGCTATGTAGGGCGAGTTTACAGTAGGTGGGCTAACTCATGAAATGCCAGCCGAAATTTCGAAATGCGTTTTCGTTTCGGAAAGACTAATTAAGTAGGGTTTTAAAACTAATCGTTATGCAGCATAGTTCTATCGCAATGCAGCTACCTCAGAATGCCGGCTTTCGAACGAATTCCTTTTTGGTTGAATGTGGGAAATACACTCTGTAAAAAAACAACTACTTTTGTATCATCAATTTTTCTCATTGATTTTCAATTTCCTCAAAAATTCAATTATATTTCATGGAAAACAAGCACAAAAAATTCATTTTTTACTCATTCGTAGACAATGACTTCTTCTTCCGATCCTTTACTCGGAGGAGGGACATAATTAGGTTTTGAAAAGTTTCCAATTCCCGAATAGGTTTTGAGCCCGCTCTTCCTTTACACTTCGATTCAGGGTTTCCAAACTACAAACCGTAAATTTTCCGCCTATGAAAACCATACATTTCTCTACGGTAATAAAGGGAGGCCATATAGGTTTCATAAAATGTAGCGGTGGAATTGATCCGTATTGTTAAGTTTACAAGCCACATTGGTAAATGCAGAGTCATGACGATTTATGAACGGCCATTTCACAGTATTTAAAAGCCCCACAACTAGAAACCGAATTATATCCCAACTTCCAGTATAAATTTGGAAGAAAACGTAATTTTCTACCGAATGAACAAAAAAGTGAATATTTTTATGCATGTTTTCCATGAACCATAATTGCATTTTTAGGGACATTGAAAATCATTGAGAAAAATTCATGCTACTTAGGTAGTCGGTTTTTTACAGAATGTAATTTTTGCATGCAGCCGAAAGGAAGTTCATTCGAAAGCCGGCATCCTGACGTAACTAAACTATTACATAATTATGTTGGAGGCTGACTACTTTTTCAACCCTACTGAATTAGTCTTTTCGAAACAAAAACACATTTCGGAATTTCGGTGGACATTTCACTAGTTAGCCCACCGACTATATGTCTGGTGTGCTGCCAGTGAGAAAACGAGTGGGAATGGGACGTGGTATTTAGTGTTTTACTGAAGATTTTCATGAAGTCGCATATGACCAAGTAGGTCCATGCGGCGATTGAATGCGCGTGGGCAGTGTGGGCACTTGGGGCATGTTGGTGCTCCTGGTACTGGTTCGCCAGTCTCAGGTAGTTGGATTCTCAAGTGACGTATGGGCCGATGCGTGGTGTGAAGGTGCGCTCGCAGTGGGGATGGATTCGGATCGAGTCTGCGTCGTTGGTGGTGGGAGCGGCTGTGATGGGTGGTAGGACGTCGGGAGTGTTCACGCCGGTGGTGGAAGTGGGGGTGATGGTAGTCGCCGTTGCCGCTGGGGCGTGAATTATGGTGATAATGGGCGGCTGGAAGTCGGGAATTTGCTCGTCGGTGGTGGTGTTCGTCGTCGTGGGGGGCTCGCTGGAAGGGTGACGGTGAGGCGTTGTCGGATGCAGTAGGTACAGTTGTCCGAGGTTATCCGACGCGGCCAGTCCGTGCGCAGAATGCCCACTGCCAGCATTGGTTCGAGAGGGTGATTTGGGTCTTAGGACCACGGCGCTTGCGACTTGCAAGCCACTCTTTTGGCTTTGGGAGCTGCCATCCTCTTGTTTTCGTAGATCTATGCTCCAGTCTTTACTCCTCTCCTTCAGATCGGTCGACCATTGAAAAGGTTCGCCCGGGTCTCCGAATGAATCCGTAATCCCTGGGAAGGTTCGTAGAGCTTCCTTGTAGCGTCGTTTTTACCCTTCTTGTCGGGAGCACCCGTAGCAACGTCGCCGAAGAAGCATCGTTTGGGTAATCCGTCGTCATCTATCCTCGCGAGGCGACCGTGCAGTGCTGCTGAAGTTGCTGTTGAGAATTGTGGTGCGTTCCAAGATTCCCGCGTTCGGGACCCTGTTTGGTTTGCAACTTTGCATTTCAGAAAATAAATAGTAAGCACAAGGACTTGCGTCTTTCAAAATATCTGTAAGTATATTATTGTCATATTATGTATTTTTAAAGCCTTTGTAAGTGGACCATACTACTGGGTGACTCGATTTCTATCGAGTTTTTTTACAATAAATGGCATCCCAAGGAATATAATTTGAAGTCATATACGTTCCTTTGGAAAAGTAGGAAAATTTATTGGGTAAATTTTTGACCCTGGTTTCTCACGTCCTCGTCAGACGTTTAATATGCCGCAACAGATAACATATCAAACCTGTCTAAAAATCGATACTTACTCGGTGTTTACTCCTGTAAGTGGCCGCCGTGTGCGTCATCATGTATCGATTGGTTCTCGTTTCTCTCAATTTCCTTGCGATTTTATACATGGCATCTAGCTCACTATGCTGATCAAGTACTGGCTCACCCGAATGTATGACTTTGAAAAACTCTCGGCTTTTTCTGGTAGGATAGACGCCGTCGATTTGAGCTTTATCCCAGTCCAAAGTGTGCCCGATATTTAGGGTGTTCATAAGCACTTGGGACGGATGGTCTCGCCTCTTACCGGCCAGCTGATGCTCGTAGATTCAGGCACAGACGGATTTTCTCGTTTGAGCACAATCTACGCATTGCAGGCACCGCATGGGATCTTGTAGACGACTTCCTTCATACCAAGATGGTCAACCCTGTCCTCAGGATGTACAAGTTGAATGCGTTAAGCGATCAGGCTACGTTATGTCTACGTCCCGTTGCGACTTTGGGTCCAATGTAGAACCCTCGCAAGAAGTCGCGTATCGTTTGGTGATATATCTGTAGAATGCCACCGACAAAGAAAGGGGAGACTGGGACGGCCGTTTCTGACTTATTGGTCGTCGCCAGACAGCCACACCCATCCCCAGGTCCGGATGACATGGGACCAGAATCGGGGTTCTCTGGTCATTCAGCGTTGACTAGTTAAATGTCATCCATCTCAGATAATCCTGACCTGGGGTTTTCGTATGACCGGTTGACGAAGGTTAACAATCCAGAATGGCCATCTCAGTCTCCATTGTATTTATTAACATTCATTTCCTGAAAATTTCCAGCTGATTATCCGTCAGTCTGACTTAAGGGTAAATAACCTACATTTGCAAAGTTATTATTTCCTCGGTTATATTTCTTCTGATTAAACGTGGTCATTGTAAATAAGTAGTGACCCACGTACCTAATCGTGCTAATTCGCCAAAAATTCCTCTAGTTAATTATGTGCCCGGCATATCTGTGGGATCTGTGGGTATATTTGGTAAAGAAATCCCGACGGAATCAATTTAATTCGCAAGCGTCTTATGCCTTATAAATCACTAGCTGGGCCCGGCCACGCGTTGCTGTGGCTCGGGTGAATTCAAAATCTCTGTTGGATAATAAACCTGCCTCGTCTGCGCCCACAACAGTGTCGACGGACGTATATGCGACTGCCTCGCTATGAATCTTAGACTGAATAATATGGTGAAGATGGTACACGTGTTTGTTTTTGGCCGGAAGAGTGGCTCGTTCGCTCGATCAGTCGTGATTGTTGAAAGTGGTCTGAATAGTGGAAGACACCTTTTCAACCAATTCCTCTTTTGAGGACACTAAATTGCCGAGGCTAAGACGTAGGAAAATCCTTCTTGTAGTTGGATAAACGGGCTCCGTTGCACTCCCAATTGCCATCAATTAGTGTTAAAATACCTCAGCTGATGGGTGGTTTTGCAGCTGGACACGCATATTTGTAGTTGTTTTTGCCGTGTGGATTTGGCGCCGCCAAGAAAAGTATTTCAAGCAGGCGCTCATTTCGTCATAAGAATGATGCGCGTCTAGCTACCTCCTTCAGTTAGCACGAAGTCAGCAGTTACCTTCAGTGCTTTAGGTTGTCCCGTGTGGGCTACTCTCAACGTCTTCGGCCGCTACAGTTTCTCGCAACTGTCTCATGTCCGCTCAACGACTCCAGGCGTTTTACCATGGCAACAAGTCATTCAGCCTCCTCACTTGGCGCCGAATGATCGCGTTTAGCTTGCGTGCATCGGTCCTTTTGTGAATCATTTCGTGCGATCTTTTGGATGTGATTATTTGTGAATATTCAGTTATACATATTTTTTAAGCTATGGAGGATATATGACTAATCAGTAAACTAGAGTTTCCAGGACCTTGCCAATATTTCTTTTTTACGCTTTTGTTCTGAGAAACGTTGCTGCCTGCAAAGCAATTAAGATGTAAATGTTTTGCCCCTCTAGCTCGTAGTTATAGCTTTTCTTGAGTTCATTCATGTTTTCCTTACCTCGATGAGCAAACTTTAGTTTTTATTTTTTTGATCAGATGTGGTTATGTAGCCCAATCTGAGGTAAAAAAACCCCAGCCACCTGTAATACGGGACCTGTAGTAATAGGGGTTTTTCACAGGTGAGGTCGAGGAACGCGCAGACGACGAAGTCAAGTAATTTGTATGCAAAAGAAAAGCTATTGGGAATGCGCGGTTGCACTTTAAGTGGCCGGGAAATAGTTGCCCTAACCCTAATCCCTAACCCCTAGTCCTAGACCCTAGCCATAACCCTTTACCGTAGATCCTTACCCTAACCCCAAGCCCCAAACCCTAACACAACCCTGACCCTTTACCCCTAACCCTTAACCGCAGCCCTAAACCCTAACCCTGAAACATCCATCGCGAATATTAGAAGGAGACGACAGGCCGAAAGTCGAGAAGGACCACCGGCATTGGGCCGAAAAAGGTGGACACGGCAACAAAGAAACAAGGCCGCCAGCAGAACACACACCTCGACGCACAGCAACACCATGCCAACGTAACCACATCAACTCAAAATAATTAAGTAGGTCAACAATATTGCGTCCGTCAGGTGCGGCTAAATAACCACGTCTTACCTATTTTTTTGAAAAAGTCAGCTTGAAGAAAGTCGCTAGATGTCTTCGTCAAGATATTCAAAAGTAACCTTTGTAAGACACAGGAATGCGTACGCCCCTTATGATAGGTGTCCTAAACCAAACTGAACCCCCCCCCTGGAATTTAGCACAGGACCACCTCTACTACAGGGGGGGGAGGTACCGTTACCGTGTCCTACCGTAACTTCGTCAGCACAGGATGAAAATCGATTGTATTTCGTGCAAATATAAAACGCCCAAGCACTTCTCCTTTTGAAAGTCATTCACCAGAGATGTGTCAGTCGAGCCAGATGTCTCACCTATATTCTGTAGCGTAGCGGAGTTAACTCGATTTGCATAACAAGCCGGCTAACTACGGTCCTTGCATTCGGAATTCGTTTGCACAACCTTCACGATGATTCACGGAGTACACATGCTTCACACCCTAATTACGGATTCCAAACATGTGTCAGGAGTCCCTTCTTTCATCCATGCGCTGCTTGCCTTGTCATCAGTGCAGACGATGAGATAATCACCGTGTCACAATCCCTAGAATCAATGTTCTGAGTAGGCAGCTCGATAATATCGTTTCCTGACAGCTTATACTTACGCCCGGGACGAAAGTAAATGATTTTTTTACTTCGTAGGCTTCTACCAAATCGTAGAACTGAAAGCAAATGGGCTCTGACGCTGATGTAGGTGCCTTCATAGAGTTGTACTGCCAACAAATTGTGGGCTTGCCTTTCGCATCTATGAAATGTTCTCGGAGCTGGTGATCAGAATCCAGCAATAAAATCTGAATTCCACGATAAACTATAACAGATGGCAGTGGAGTATGACGCATTTCTGAGACCGCTCCAAGGTTTCTGATGGATTCATGAACAATCTCCATCTCTAGGCGAATACCGTGATTCGCGTCTGTGTAAGTGGCTTTGTGGCCTGCGAGTTCAGCACTCCGTGCGGTCGAAAAAGTATCCTTAGCCTTTCTGGTGGATGCTGCATGCTAAGTTTGCGTTTCTCAATTTGCCTACCAAATGAGTTAATTTCCTATCTTCGGTGCTGTGTTTTTACAATTACGGCAAACATTAAAAATCGTCAACTCTGCTAAATTTCATTCTAATTAAAAAGGTCAAAATTTCCTCTGAGTTGTTTTTAGATGGCCAAAAACTTCGTGCGCATCTGTCCTGGTGTCACAAGTTCGCACAGACACTACTGATCAACACTTCTAGCCTCCCGATTGGCCGATTGAAATCTGGGCAGTTCGACCTCATCGTCGTCCAGTGGCAGGAGAAGGGGGTGGCACAAGTTCGCACGGACATCCCCTGATTGGTCGATTTAAATGTGGGCAGTTCGACGTTAGCGTCGTCCAGTGGCAGGGAGGGCAGATCGTCTTACGTTAGCTGGTCTCCGCCAACTCAGGGAAAAATTGCTTTTCTCCCACGCTACTCGGCTTTGCGCCCAGGTGCGACTTGTAGAGCAGGCAGAATGGCCGGGCTGGCGTAGCTGCCGACCATAGCGGCCTTTCCATCTCCTCCAGTCCGACTAGCTTGCAAAGTTCGATGAAATAAATTTCCCGAGGACCTGACAATAGAAACCAATTTGCCGTGAGATCATGGAGTGGCCTGCAAAGGCCCTTCTATTCCTGAGGGGGCCTGATTTTTAAAGCAGGCCTTTTCTGATTAACGAATGTACAGAGGTAAAAAAGTTCCAAAACGATTTTAAGTCTGATGGCGAAATTTCGAGTTCCACGTGTATGCATAAGTGAAGAAGAAGAGGGGTCGAGCAACGGAGCATTTTGTTTATTGTCCTAAGACTTCGGACTCGTGCAGGAGTCCATCGTCAGAGATAGTAGCAGCAACAAAACAGGCTATAGGGCATGTAAGCCAATCATCGACCGACTGCGCAAGACTGGAGGTGGCTGCGCAGGGCTCAGTACGCTGGCGCCAGATCGATAAATCTATTGATTGAGTTCTCATCCGATGCCCAGGCTTCAATCACTTCTCGGCCTGCTTCGTTTCCGGCGTGGGCGACTATTTTGTTGGCTGCGAAGTTTAACTCGTGACCCATGTCGTAGGTGTGGGTGGTCGCTTGCGATAATGTGCCGCCTCGCCGTACAGCCAGCTTATGTTCGCGTGTGCGCGATCCGAGCATGCGTCCAGTCTGGCCTGTGTAGTTATAAGGACAATTTTGACACGGTATGCGATACACTACTCCAGATTGCTCTTCAGGCTTTAACCGGTCTTTAATTTTCATGACCCTTTTGCGCATGGTGGCTTTGGGGCGATGTGCAATTCCAAAACCCAGCTCCGCAGCAATGCGCTAGGTCGCTTCTGAAATGCCCTTGAGGTAAGGCAGAGAATGTCATATCGTCGGTGGTGTTGTTGCTTGAGTCCCCTTGGGCGACTTATGAATGTCCTCTGATAGCCATTTCGCACAAACTGGTAGCCGAGATAACGAGCCTCACGTGCTCTGTCCTCCGGTTTGCTGCAATGAGTTTGGATCCGTTTGAAGAGCGTCTTCACACAGTTTCGTTTGTGAGCCACCGGATGGTTGCTGCAAAAACTGAGAAGCTATGTGGCGTTCGTTGCCCTCCTATAAACTGTCGTTTCAATTTTGCCGTTAAAGTTTCGTCTGACAAGCACATCCAGGAAGGGCAACTGCTGTTCCTGCTCTTCATTTCTCGTGAATTTTATATCAGGGACGACTGCATTTGGCAGGCCGTGGAAATGTTGCAGCATGTCCTTCTTTACGATGACAAACGTGTCGTTTACGTAACGGCACTAAAATACCGGCTTGTGTTGGATTAAAGCAAGCTTTTCTAACTCTTGTAGGACCAGTTCTGTCACTAAACCGGAGACCGGTGAGTCTATTGAAGTTTCCTTGATTTGTTCATAGGTCTCCCCAGCAAAAGTGAAGAAAGTTGTTTGGCAGAATTCAAACAGCTTCATAAGATGTTCAATTTCGAGTGCATTCTGAGTCTCGTCGTACGCCTCTTCAAGTCTCTTGCGCAAGATTTGAAATACTCAATCCATATAAAGTGGTGCTTCTGATGCAACACATAAAGAATTTGAGTGAAAATAGAAGGGTGCGCGTTTTGATATTAGATGATCAAAAAATGTACGTAACAACTCAGACAGTCACTGTCGGTTGAGAGCATATAAAACCGCCGGCAGGCTGATTGTCAGGCAGAATTAAGACCATATTTGCGGTTAGTTTAAGTTCGGACATCAGCGAACAGGTGGTCTGATCTTCGTCCCTGCAGGAATCAGATTAGCCAGAACCCCTTTCTTTAGCCCCCATAAACCTGCGGCAAATTCATCTACCGAATCCGGACAGTAACCTGTAAATAAGGGCTAAATTACTGTACACACAACCAAAACTTTGGTGATGCCCTCAGACGTTAGCTCCCAATGGGGCCCTCCTTGGCGAACTCGTACATACTTCTCGTTCTGTTCAGAGTACTTTTAGATTTCTGGACACCCGACTGTATTTCAGGATGCCTTCCGATTCTTATTTTGAATTGAATACCTGCTTTCCACTCAAGAATGTGGCGATCACTTCTTCGGTTTGAGTTATTTTGGTCGTACTGGACGTTATCATGAATGAGTAATGAAGAAGGAGATCGATCAGCCACCGGGACCGTTGGTTATTTTTGCTTGTAATTACAGAGGTCAGACCGAGCGCATGTTTGAATCGTGAGCATGAGCTGGCCGTGGAGCAGGATGACTAATTAGCACTAATTGCTGCCAGCACCTTCGAAACAGGTCACGAGTTCAACTTCGCGCCGCCAAGATAACTGCTCATGTCGAAAACAAGACAAGCCGGGAGTTGATTTAAGCCTGGTCCCTCGATGAGAACTCATTTAATCGATGTATGGATTTGGCGATTGAATACAGAGCCCTGAGCAATCACATGCAGACCTGCGGAATTGGCTGTTGATTGGCTAATCCCCCCCGTATAACCGCCACCTGCTCTGTTGCTGTTTGTCCTGACGATGGACGCCTGCCCGAATTCGAAAGCGTTGAAAAATAAACAAACAGCTCCGTTGCCTTGGAAGTCCCCTTCTTCCTGAAACTTGCTCCTTCTCGAGCTAGTTCCTGGGGCGACGTTTCGCACTTTCAGCTCGAAATCAAACGATGCAAACACAAGAAAACCCACCTCTCGTCGTCCACTAAAAGCGAATGTTATTGAAAGTAAATCTTTTCGTGATTATTTCATTCTCAGGTCAACTTTGGTGTCATTTCAGTCGTTACGGCTTACATTTGGCAAAGGGATATGCCTTGCTCAGGTTTCGGTGAAGGATTCACTAACACGCAAAGTAGTAAGGGATTCCAAATTTAAAATTTTATCCTTTGTGTGTTTTGCCTCTAAAAAACTACTCGAATCACTTTGCACAACCACTTCCAAGTGCCCAAATCTTAATTTTAGACCTCGGCCACATAACAGAGCCCTTGCCTTAATCTTCGCTCTTGTTTTTAACAGGCATCTAGCCCTAACATTCGGTATTAACATATCCCCGAAGTAATCAGGATGCTTATTTCACTGCAAGTGCAAGGACTATGTAAAACGCTGCATCGCTAATTAATCCCATGTTTGGTTCAGAAAAAAGGCATAGCCCCACTAGTTACCTTTGACTCCGATCTCAATTCGGAGCGAAGTAAGCAAACACAAACCAAAATACTGGAGTTGAAAAAGGTTATTCTTACAAAAACCATCTTAATAACCCTGAATCTTAAGCCAATGGAAATATAAAGGAATCTAGTCAGTTTAACAAATCCGAGCGCCAGCCGGTGGATAAGCTCGGACGGTGCACTGGTGCATGGGAGAGGAGAAGAGGAGTGAGGTCGACACTGGGTAATCTATCCCCCTGGCACATCAGCCCACTTCACATTAATAATAACTCTAATGAGCTTAAATCTACTATGGCACGCAAAAAGTTGTGGCTCGGAAGGGTGTCAGTTAAAGGAGCCATTCAGTAATCTGAGAGCCGAGCTCAACGGTTCCTTCTGGAAGCAGACGTCATGGCGCTCCCACTTGGGTGAGATCAAAGGCGCCCTCTTGAGACTCCGGCCCATCGTGCCTAGACCAGGCGAGTTTGCCACGAGTGGAGGACGGTATAGCCTTGTATGTCTCAGCCCACATCCAGTCGTCCCGAATCTGCCTTGCAACCGGTTCCGGGGGAGTGAGGGAAGAGAGAGTGCGATAGATGCTGCGCAGTTCTGGTATCCCTTTGGCAGTTCGACCTTCCTTTCCGACGACGTCTAAGTTGTGCCCCACAAGAGGGGTGGGCTCAGAGCTGGGGAAGTGCGCGTGAATTAGTTCATGGTGACAGCAGACATGCGCTGCATCCACAACACTCCCTCCTTCTCCCGACTATCACTGTAAACTAATTCATCCACAAGTCACCGTCCGGCGTCAACCGTTATGCGGGGCACGCGGTGGACAGCATCGTTCGCGACGGTCGAACTATCGCAAAAATGGATGGGTTTATCCGTGGTTTGACAAGTCATGCCACGCTTTTATCTCTTCACCCGCAACGACAGTTCCAATCACTTTGTGCCGTTGGAGACCACGGGCGTGTCACTGTACATGTCTGTCTGGCGTGCCCCCTAAACGTGGTATATGCGCTGGACCAATACGGCGGCCATATCGGATTCTGGTAGGCGTTATCGGAGCTACACACCACAACAAATGCCAACATTTCGGAGTGCGGTGGCGGGCCCGGTTGGGGGCAAGCGTCGCGCACACTGGGACCCCTGCCGCCCGTCCCCCTTCCCATTATTGTCGATTGGTCAAAAACACAATCATTTGCCGTCTGAACCAGGGGATGTGGAATGGTACGCCCAGGTGCGTGCTCGACCGTACCGTCCACCTGCGCCCTCCCCCCACCTCAGGTCTTATGGACTCTGTCTTGACACCAGGTCCAGGTGGGGGAGAAGAGAGTGTGGTATTTGCTGTGAAAGTCAACTCGCACAAACCAATTCACGCACAATCACCGCGCCTACTTCACCTTGCTGTGGAGCATACGGTGGACATTGTCGAATCGACGGCCGAACTGTCGTCTGCCTGGCCGTCTCTGCCGGACCCGACTGCAGATAACCAGTTAAAACTCCACGCAAGCCATTTATGACAACTGTGCCGTCAACGCTGATCAGTAGATAAGTGTTAACCCTAGCGATTTGCGCTTGACGTGACTTTTCTGTGAATATGGTTTTTTGTCTAGGGCAGACGTTTGGTTCTTCTTTAAACGCGTCACACCACTCATGCAGCGATCACGCGATGCAGTCAACCAGTGTCGTCGTGACGGGCAACACGTGGCATGTAAGAAGGAACACATCTCACTTATCTTCGAGCCGTGATGTCTGACGGAGTCTAATCATGTGGATCAGATGACAGGCACGTGCGGGCGTGCCACACGACACTTCGATCCTTGTTTCCGAGTATGCCTACCGTGTGCTTCACACCATGATGGGAGTAGGGACGGCAGTTTTGCGCGTGAATTCCTTTATAGCGATAGTGGACTTGCGCTGCATCTACCACACTCTCTCCTTCCCCCCTCCCCCACCTGGGAGTTGTTTTATGAAGTAATCAAGAGAACCGGAGGCAGGAGGGGGCGCAGGTGGCTGGCACATTGAAAACCCGCACCTAGGCGTACTACTACACTCCCCGGTCCATCCTGTACAACTGACCAAGACTAGAGAAAGAGGGAGGGCGGCTCGGAACCTTACTGAGTGGTAATGCCATAGAGGCCATAGCAGCCTGAGTCTTCATCCATCCCCTCGGTTGGCAGTCTTCCAAGCCACGGTTTTTAGCACACTGTGATATATTCAAGCGTTCCAGGCTGTTTATAGTGAGGAATTATGTGCTGAGAGTAGACCCCACTCGCACCAGTCGACGGTCTGAGCCGGTCAACCAATTCATGTTGAGATAGGTAGAGGTGGCAACGCTTGGTAATCCGTCCGCGGAATGTTCGCCGACAACGCGGCCATGATGGGAAATATGGGACGCTGGAGATGTGAGTCAGGTACGCTCGAGATTTTCGAGCTGCTCTTTTGGCTTTGGCAGTAACAATCCTGTTGACTTCATGGGGGGCCTCCCCAGTCTTCACTGTTCTTTTCCAGGCCGGTCGATCCTTTTCTAGGTTTTCCAGGTCTTCGTATTGATTTATAATCGTTTCAAGGAGCTCCTCAAGGTGTCCTTCTAGAGGCGTGTTTGGCCGCCTTGTCGGCAAACTGCCGTAGCGACGTCTCAGTAGTGGAATCGTTTGGGTATTCGCTCATCGTTCATCCTCATGATATGATCGCTTCGTCGCAATTGTCGATGATTCAGGACAGTGTGAATGCCGCGGATTCCTGTCAGTTCCAAAATGTACATGCCCGAGATCCTGTCCTGACATCTCAGCGCCTTTAGATTCTCCAAAGACAACTCAGACCGGAATGATTTGTTTCCGGTATCGTTTCTTGTAAACTGTCCAGATCTCTGCTACATACAGCAATGTCACCAAGATGTAAACCATGGGTTTGATGTTGAGGCGGAGGTCATGACGATTCCATACAGCCGGTCGAAGGCCTGGCTAATTTTCGAGATCTGCTGAGACACTTCGACTATGGTGCCTAAATAGGCGAAGTTGTCCACGGTCTTCAGTTGGGTACCATTGGTTTTGATCCGAAGAATGCTTTATGCAGACTTGGACGACGTATGATGCATAACCATCACTTTTTTCTGTATTGATGACCAGCCGGAAGTTGGCGCAGCCGGAGTCGAAGGCGGCCCGACTCCGCTGTATGTCTGTTTCTGACTCGGTGTTGAACTCGCAATCGTACGCGAAATGCAGATCGTGAATAGTAGTCATGGGGAGAGGGGAAGAGACGAGTACCAGGAAGCAGTCTTGAGGAAGGAGACACGATCGCTGGGACAAGAGCTTTATTAGCCTGTCGTTTCTGATCCCTACTCGAACCCATCGTCAGCGACAAAAACAGATACGGGTGGTTCATGCACAAGGGGCTGCAGTATTTATAGGATGCAGTCGCCATGCTACCACATACCTATGAATATTCACGCTCCCCTCCCCCCCCCCCTTCATCAGGGATCATTGCACTTGGTGTGCTGATTGTTTGATGGCCGACATTCGCGTCGTTAATTGCTGCAATTTCATCAAGTGCGTTGGGTGTTGGTGTGATGATTGCTCGACCATCTGACCTACCGACTCTGGCGTTGGGAAAAGTTTTCACCTGTGCGCTTCCCGCATGGCTAATTACTCCGTCTAGGCTAAGTCTCAGCACCGAGTACGGAAGGGGAAGGTCATTGAACTTGTTAATGAACTGAGGGCCAGTAAACCACGACTCAAGCAGCTCCCGGTTCACGCGGTTGTCCCCTCTCGCGAGAATTTAGGCCTCGCCGAATTTGAATGTGCGGCCGGATCTCGTCGAATGAGCCGCGACTTGAAAGCTGGCGTCGTTTCTTCGCACTGCTGCAGCGTGTTCGGCTCTTATCTCAGCGATCTTGTCTCCTTCTTCAATGGAGAGAGGCGTTGGTGTCAGCATGCACTGACTTTTGAGAGGATGACCACTGGTCCTGCAGGAGATGCGAATCCCGGGACGCTCATCAGGGTAGACATCCATCATCATGGCAGAGAAGATGAGGCTGAAGTGGGAGGGAGCGGACACACAGTCCTGCTTTACTCCTTTGGCCACTGCGAATGTTGCTGAGACGGATCCCTCGTCCGTGACGCGCACCATAATCCCCTTGTGAAGCTGACACACTGACGTCTCGCTACTAGCTGCCTGTGGGCAGTTTGAGAATATTACGCGGTTATTCCGTTGTGGCTGATGGACTTCGGCCCATCATAAGTCTTAAATAGACTGGTTTACTTCAACTAAACGGCTAATTGCTGAGAAAATACGAAAACTGCCAATACAAGCGAAGATGCGAGTTCCAGGAACTAGTTGATCAGAAGAAGATGATGAAGCGATCGCTGGAACAAGGGCTTTATTCGCCTGACGTTTCGGAATCTCACTTGAATCCATCATCAGAGGCAGTTGCAGAAAAGGGTGACTCGTGCACAGGAAGTTGCAGTATTTATAGGATGCGGTCGCTATGCTACCGCATACCTACAGCAATCAACCGTTCTCCCCTTCATCAAGGATTGTTGCCCGCTGGTGCGCTAATTGCTTGATGGCCGGCATGCAAGCTGTTAATTGCTGAAATCTCATCGACCGTGTTGGATGCTGGCGTCTCGGACATGCCCAAGTCCTTCAGCTCCTAAAGTTCTGTCTCAGGACGTACTTCACGTTTGACGGAACAATCTACCAGCAATTGAATGGGACACCAATGGGCTCGCTGATTTCAGGATTCATCGCCGAGGCGGTCCTACAGCGGTTAGAGTCGCTGGTCTTCCAGCACCACCGACCGAAATTTTGGGCTCGGTATGTGGACGATACCTTCGTCGTCATCGAACGGGATCAGGTGCTAACGTTCAAAGAACGTCTCAACAGCGTCTTCCCGGACATACAATTTACGATGGAGGAGGAAGAAAATAACCAGCTGGCATTCCTTGATGTCCTCGTCTGTCACAAAGATTGTGGTGGTCTAAAGACCAAAGTGTTCAGAAGAAGGACGGACACGACGCAAATACTGAACTTCAACAGTAACCACCCAATCAGCCACAAACGCAGTTGCGTAAGAACGCTATATCGGCGTGTTGAGACGCACTGCAGTGGACCGGAAGACAAGGTTGTCGAATCCCAATATCTTCGGCGGGTTTTCAGAGAAAATGGTTACCCGCGCAACTTCGTCAACCGGTGCCTGCGCGAACGAGACGAGCGACAACATCGCGCCGACCCCAAATTCTGGCGAGCGATCCCGTACATCAAGAACGTCTCCGAGGCCGTTAGTCGCCTTCTTGCACCACCTAGGGTTGGAGTTGTGCACAGACCGGAGGCCACCATGAGGTGTCAACTGATGAGACCAAAAGACCCATTGCCACGGCAAGAAATATCTGGAGTCGTTTACCGGATCTGGTGCAGTTGCGGACAAAGCAACTACGTTGGAGAAACTGGAAGACTGCTCCGGACGCGAATCGCCGAACGCGTGGCAGCTGTACGGAGAAATGACGCCAACTCTCAGGTCGCGACCCATTCGACGAGACCCGGCCACACATTCAAGTTCGATGAGGCCGAAATTCTCGCGAGAGGGGATAATCGCGTGAGCCGCGAGTTGCTCGAGTCATGTTTCACGGGACCTCAGTCTATCAACAAGTGCAACGACATCCCCACTCCGTATTCCGTGCTGAGGCATAGGCTGGCCAAGGTAATTGACCACTCGGGGAGCGCGCAAGTCGGTGTCCAAGTTGAATTCGGCCGTGTTGAAGGGCGGAAGAAGGCATTGATCCGGAGGAGACTGTGTTCTGCGCAGGTTTGCATTAGAAAGAGATGGTTTTCCTTGCAGCCATAGATTCCATGGGAACCCAGCGTTCCGTCCCAGGCGGCGCGTTCTGTCCTGACAGGAGTGTTGAAGTCGCCAGAGACAATAAGCTTTTCCGCCATCGGTACAGTCGCCAGGAGTGCGTGCAGGTCGTCGTAGAACTTGGCCTTGGCCTCGTTGAAGCTGGTCATTGTGTGGGCGTAGACACTGATGATGATAGCGAATTTGGATCCGTGAAGAGGCAGATGCAGGATCATCAGTCGGTCCTTTATGCCCTGGGGCAGACAAGGCTATCGTGCCACAATATCTTTCCAGATTGCAAGGACGACGTCAACGTTCCAGAATAGGGTTTAGCCGGGACCCACCTCATTCAGTTGGTTCTTCTCGAAGAAGCGGGTCTGCTGAGAGCGGCGATTTCCATCTTGTAGCGCCTTAGTCCTCGAGCGACGGGCATCGCCCTCTGTTCTGGTCGGTTACTCCTTGAATTGCCTAAAAGCGAACGAATATTTCAGGCTGCCACAGTGAGCAAACTCATGCTAGCCGTCCGTGGGGTTGAGTGGAGGAGATGTGGAGGAATGTTGCTGTTGTTCATCGTTAGATTTTGATCGCAAATTTTGACATCTACCAGCCATAGTACACCTGCATTTAGCATGATTTCCCAGCAGTTGTCTAGAGCACCTTTCTAGCCCCTTCTCCGTGAGCTGTTATGCATTGATATCCCAGACATCTCAGACGGCCGCCGAACTCCACTATGCCTCATGGCTTTTTTTAGTAAAGAGCAACCGGAATTAACTTGGGCCGCCTACGGGATTACATGTCGCCCTCTTCTAATAACTTTTGAAGTAGAGTTAATGAGGAGGAATAAGAAAGGATTCAGAAATACCGGGTGTATGGGATAAACACAACACCGGATACCCTCATTTGGTTTAGTTTGCCGATCCAGGCAGTTACTGGGTCGTGACCACCAGGCTGAGCCTAGAGTGGGAGCGTAAGACGTATTCGCCATCCCGAAATTTTCCAAATCAAAAGTCAAACAGGGCAGAACTTGGAGAAACTTTACTGGGAAGACAATTTCTGGCCCATTTGTCGTCGTCATCATCAGATAGCCGTGCCCAATCCAACTTTGGATATCTTGAGAGTGCCTGTCGAAATCAACAGGACAACGCGCCCGTGGCTCACTGGTAGAGCCTAGGACTTAAAAATACACAGTGCACAAAGATCTCGGGCTCTAATTCCGGATTATCAAAACCTTGAGCTGGGCATAACTCACTGGCGACGGCCAATAAGCCATAAATGGCCACTCCGGCTCCCCTTGTCTTTGTCGATGCTAGCTTCTGCATCGTTATTGGTCGTTGTGCGAGAGCTTTAGAACTTATAGCGTCTGAGCGATGTGAGTGTACTTAGAGCGCCATAATCACCCGACCAAATCCCGAGTTGTTGGAAAAGACTGAAGTCACCAAAATGAGGGATTAATTGTATAACAGGAACTCGAGTTGTCCTCTCAGGCGGCAGTGGTCGCTGGAGAAGCCAGGGCTGGTGTTGACTGCGCCCAGCTATACCTGGGAGTTTGTGAGATGGTGATGACAGCTGCTTTTGTAGGTTTGTGAGGCAATCTGAAGTGGAGTCCAGTTGGCGTGTGTTACACTAGCTGAGAGGTGGTTCTCAAGTGGCTTATGCTACTGGTTGCAGGGGGGTGGTGCGTTCGAGTTCAAGTCTGTCGGGAGGCTGCAGGTCAGCGCGTCCGGGACCTCTCGCTGCGAAGGCGAGTGACCTTGACGCAACCGGGCCTTGAACAAGGACACCAGACGTGGCTGTCGGCAACTTACTTCCTTTCGATGATGATTAGTCCATTATACACACTTTTCACACACCCACACCAACCCACTTACGTAACCTTATAGCGGGCAGCCATCATAACCGGTCTGGCGTCATTGTTCAAGACCTCGCTGCCTCAAGGTCATTCGAACTCTTGCAGCGATCCATTCCAGCCGCGATGGCCTGAAGCCACTCGACCGACTTCAGCTCAGACACAATTGCGTCCTCACAGCATCGCGGCTACCCATGCGCCACTGTCCCAGAGACTCTCAGGCATGACTGGACGCAGTCAACATTAGCCCTGGCTTCACCACGATGGAAACTGACGCCTGAGAGGACAACGCCAGTTTCTGTGCTCACTAAACCCCTCATTCTGGTGACCTCCGTCTTCTCTTTCCAACATTGGATTTGCCCTGATTATGTTAGCGCTAAGACTACACAAATTCTCACGGATGTACCGCAAAAACCGTGTGCATCCTACATGGATTTACCCTAATTCGGAGGACCTTCCCCGACCGACATTCTGTATAAAATATCGATTAATAGTTCCTTGGAGCAAAAAGTTAACAACCGCCTGCTTTTGCTATCTGTCATAATTTATTGCTGGCCTCGACGCTTTGCTTGCCAAAGGCTTTGCAGACTTTTAGTAATCCACATCTGCCATCGTGAACAGTCACCGGTCGAACCATTTTAA